TTTTTTTTTTTTTTTTTTGGACCAATTAATAATGTGAAATGCAAAAAATTACTGTATCTGATTCTTTCTATTTTTGGCAAGTTATCAGGTCTGTCGATTCTGTCAACAACAGGATGAGAAACAAGCTTGCTTCATTTGTGGAACTCTGGAGAATCTCTGGGTGTGCGTGATCTGTGGCTTTCTAGGATGTGGAAGGTTACTTGCTCATTGATTTCTCTTCTTATATATTCTAAGTTGACATATTCAAGAAGACTGCTATCGGCAAAATACCAAAATATTTTATGACATTAGGTGCTGCCTTTTTGCATCACGTTGATTTAGGTATAAGGAAGGGCATGCAATCAGGCATTGGAAGAATATGCATCACTGCTATTCTCTTGATTTAAGAACACAGCAAATTTGGGATTATGTTGGTGACACTTATGTTCACCGCTTGAACCAGTCAAAAGTTGATGGTAAGTTTGGAGAGATGAATTCACACTGTATTTCACATGAAGGAGAGTGTGGAACTTGTGAATATGATGAAGACTCCGGAATCAATGAGGCCCTGTACAGCAGTAAAGTTGAAGCAGTATGGCTTTCCGACTCAATTCTTCCGCATATATATATCATGCATTCTATTTTTCTACGAGTCTGTAGCCATGTTGTTTCTGTTAGGCAATTATGGTCTGAGAACTGTATGGACTTAGGACCATAAATTAATCCATGTGATGTAGAGGGTTTAAAGGTTGGATTATACAAATTATTCGCACTGGCATTTAGTACCTTAATCACATTATCCATACATTATTCCTAATTCATACATTTCCAAACAGATTGTGGATGAGTATAATCGGCTTCTTGCAACGCAGCTGGAAACTCAGAGACAAGTATGCAACCAACTTCTCTACTTTAGATTGTGCTTCTCCGATTTATCTTGCACCTTATTGTAATACTGCCTATATTTTTGTTAATATTTCTTTCTGCTTTCAATACTGTCTTTGGCTCCCAATAATGGTTCATGTGAAAACATTTATATAATATTTCAAATTTCACGAGAACTTTTTCTGAGGATTAAGTTGAATATTTGACAGTACTGATCCTTTGGTTCTTTGCATTTTATAATTTCCATGTATAGACGTAATTCTTGGTATTAGATGAGACTAGACATAGTGTACCACAAATGCTGAAATATGACTGGCTCTTTGTAATTTACCTGGACTCCAGCAATGCACAAGTATCTGAGACTTCAAACTCAGCTGACTTGAGCAAGTTAGCATTGCTGAATATTTTGGTTTCAAATTGGCCAGATATGGCTGTTTCTAAATCAAAGAATAATGTAAGATTTCACATCAATTATAGAGAGGATTGAGTGCCAGCGAGGACCTTGGCCCCAAAGGGGGTGGATTGTGAGATCCCACATCGATTGGAGAGGGGAACAAAGCATTCTTTATAAGGGTGTGGAAACTTCTCCCTAGCAGACGCGTTTTAAATTTTTTAGGAGAAAGTTCAAAGTGGACAATGTCTGCAAGCGGTGGGTTTGGGATCTTACAAATAACGTGTTCAGAACCTTCCAAGTCAATATCCCATAGCATTCCCACTTTGACCCATGTTATTGTGGTTGTTGGCATCCTTTGTAAAAACTGTTACGCTAGGTCAACATTTTGCACATCCTCGTAATATCTTTATAAAGTTCACATTTAGTTGCTTGAAGCAAAAAGAAAATAAACGGTTTTTTTTTCTTGTTACTTAAGTTTGATCAACTTCCATATTATTTTTCTTTTCAGCTCTAATTAAGCATTCACATATACACACATGCATATAGTGATCAAGATCTTTACTTTTGTCTCGACAGTACTATGAATCTCTGCTGGCAGAGGCAAAAAGCAAAAGGGAAGTTTCCGTTTCTGAAGCAGTGGAAGAGGCTTTAATATCCAAGACTCAGGACATTCATGATAAACTTGAAAACTGTGTCAAGGAGATAAACGTTGTTTCCGACGTAAGTTGTAACTATTTTCTTGTTCTCACAGATCGGATGATCACATTTTTTCATGGTCATTGACACTGATCTTCATTATGTGTTCTTCTAAATACTTCCCCCCTGTAGGTAAATCAGAAGCTCATCAAGAACCAAGAAATGTGGATGGCTAAAGCAAAGCAAGTTGAAGAAAGGTACATAACCTTACAGTCCATGGAATTTCATAGGAGTTCAAATTCACCTTCTGCTTATTGAACAATAGCTTACAAGCGTTGATACTTATAGGTGTCGAGTTCTTGCCTTAATAGTTACCGTTAGATTAACTAATTACACTTTGTATGCCAGAGAACTCGCTTCGTTGAAATCGAGGAACGAGAAAATACATGATTTGGAAGAACAGGTACCGACATTTACACGATGCTGAATCCTCGTATGTATTTCATGTCTGAGTAGTTGCGCTTAGATGCATTTGATTGGTGATGTTACAGATAAGAGATCTTACAGTCTACATTGAAGCCCAAAAGACACTCAACAAAATTACAGATTCAGATGACATAAAAGGAGGAACACTTTTGCCTGTACCTGCAAAAGAATCTTCCCCCAGCAGCGGCAGAAAGAAGGGCAGCCGAAGGCGGAATTAGAGAGACGCGTGCTCTTGTATTCACTCGCCCAGGTTCTGCTTGTTAACATTTTGCCTAAACTAAGGAGAAAATGAAAATGCTCTCTTTGATCATTGTTCCTTTAAGAAAAAACGTTTGATTGACTGAGATCTATGATTTGTTGTCTCATGTAAAGTAAAGGTATATATATTATATCCATCATGTCGATAGCAGGAATATTATTAGGATATATACAATATTAGTCCCTCATTTTATCAATATATACAATACTAGACCCTCATTATTTTATTTTCTTTATTTTCTTTATTTTCTTTTTTTTCTTCTTCCGTCATTATAATTTTTTGTAGAGTAACCACACAACTTTTCATTGCTAACAGATATTGTTCTTTTTAGGTTTCAACACTCTTATAAAATAATGTTTCGTTCTCCCCAATTGATGTGGGATCTCACAATCCACTCTTTTTTTTTTTTTTTTTTTTTTTTTTTTTTTTTTTTTTTTTTTTTTTTTTTTTT